GATGTATAACCTGGGACATCTGTAATCAGGAAGTGCTCAAGCTAAACTATCATGTCTGGCATATTTTGTGTGACTCAGAAGTTAAGCTACAAAATAACAGGACTTTAAATTGCTGAGCTCCCTAAACCCCCTGCAAAGCAGTTTGCTTAATTTAGAACATACTTAGCAGTGAGAAAATTCAGCCCATGAGGTCTAAGCATATTGAAGTGTTTGTGCCAAATTCATCCTTGATGTATAACGCTACCAGTTCTGAACTACTGGATTGATATGTTGGTCATCTGTCCAAGAGCACATGCAGACACCAGTCCATCCTTCCCACCAGTGGGCAAGCCCAAGTATACAGTTACTCTCAGCAAGGTCAAAAGGCCAAAGAAAAGCTCTCCTCAGCTGGAGATGCAGTGGGGCATTGCAGCTGTTCTGCCACTACCTGCCCCCTTGGAACACTGTACATGCAGTATACACCTGAGAAAAATGGGACCTAGTTATGCCCCTCCAGGAAGTAATCTGTACTGTATAGTTTTCCTTTAAGGGTTGGTTTCCCCCATTTTTCCCCTTAAAACACCAACACACACATACCCTTTTTAGGATGGAGTAGATAGAATGGTTATAGCAGGGACTGGGAGTCAAAACTCCTGGGATCTGTTCCTGGTTCTGCCATTGACCTTGGCCCAGGTCACTTATGGTTTGATTTTTTTCAGAAGTATTGAGCACCATATTTAGTGAAGTGTGGACCCTTCCATGCTTCACTTTCTCCACCTGTAAAGCAGTGAGGCATAGCAAATTAGTTACTTGTAAAGCACTCTGAGATATTCACATGATCAAAATAGCATGATTATTGTGCTGGTAGAATAGATACGTATTTGCAAGTTAGCTAAATTTAGCTACTGACATGGCTTTCAGAGTCAGGGGTTAGTGTGGGGATTGATGGTTCACTCTGCTCCCTTTCCTCAAAGAAATTACATTATCATTTGGAGCATGTGTGGGAGGCGGGGGAGGGGGGGATAGATAAAACTGAACAGCTCAACTTGAAGGAATTCTACACCTCCATTTTGTCACGTGCCAGCATGTAAAGTTAAATTTCTAGTCATCCTGGTAGTGGTGAGATGTTTGAGGAATATAAACTCTGTTGTGTAATCCTTTTAGCTACATTAATTAACAAGGTTTCAGAGTAGCAGCCGTGTTAGTCTGTATCCGCAAAAAGAAAAGGAGTACTTGTGGCACCTTAGAGACTAACAAATTTATTTGAACATAAGCTTTCGTGAGCTACAGCTCACTTCATCGGATGCATGCAGTAGAAAATACAGACTGTATTTTCTACTGCTGCATGCATCCGATGAAGTGAGCTGTAGTTCACGAAAGCTTATGCTCAAATAAATTGGTTAGTCTCTAAGGTGCCACAAATACTCCTTTTCTTTTTATTAATTTACTAATAAAACATAAACTTCATTGGGAGAAAAATCAGCCTTTAATGTGATGTTTTAAAAATATTTTTGATAGATATAGGCTAATATTGATATGCTTTGTAATTGTAAGCAACATGCTAGTTAGAATAGTGTTAGCCTACAAATAGTGAAGATGACTGCCCTGAAGGGAATTGAAGAATTTATATAATCTTATACTTATTTTTCTATACTTCAATGAAGACGATCTATAAAGGTTTATGATGTCTCTGCATGTCTGCCGCCATACCAAGCCCTAACCAGCTCATTGTCCCAGGTCAGAATTTGGGCGATATTTGGCCCTTTCTCATCTAGATGCTGGAGGAAATGGTGCTGAGGATTGAAAGGTGGCTTCCTTCCTTCAAGTCAGTACTGAGTGAATGTTCCAGTATGGTTTCAGGGAGGAACTGTGCTACAGTGTCTTTTGGTTGCAATGTAAAACAGGCCCTGTTAGTTGTGGTCATTGAAGATACCATGGCAGTTTTTGAAAAGACAGGGTGACCAAATTTCAGCTGGGTTCATTACATCCTCCTTATCTGAAATGTCCCACTGAAAACTACAGGGATGCAAAATTCTTATTCACTTCCTGTGCTGCTTACCTTGTTGTGTAGTGTAGTGTGCTATAACCATAGCTGTTATAAACCAGTGATTGGCAAAGCAACTCAGGTGTATGCTTCCTAGCAGATTTACAGCAAGGGGACTGGCAGTCAAGATGCCCAGGTTCTAGACCCATCTCTATCACTGACTCACTGTGTTTGCCCTTCACCAAGTCACGTGAGTGTGTGGAAAATATGAATCACAATTCAAGTCTGCTAAGATAAAAACTTTAGCTGCACTATTACTTAGGTAGTGCTAAATTTCTTTTTTAGTGTTTCTTATTTTTGATGATGAAGGGATTTTTGTGGATGAGGGTGGAGGGGAAATGTGCTAGGCTGGATTTCAGAAGCAAGATCTTGTTCCAAAATGGTTAAGACACTGAAGGCAGCTCACAGCAGGGATGCACCCAATTTTAAACCTAATTTTTCGGTGGAGTAGCTATTAGCAGTGTGGTGTTGTTTACAATGAGGGAGACCCTTCCACTTACTGAAGCTGTGGTTAAACTTTTGTCAGGTTTTATATGTTTGTTTGCTTGACTTGGAGCTACTGTATCCCATGCGGTTTCTGCCAACTGTGACCCAGCCAAGCCAGCAGGAGCTGTGATAAATTTGTCTCTGCTGAGACTCTCTTTGCATGTCTTACACCTTTATCTGTCATGTACCATGTATATCGTTAACAAGTAAAACCCCTGGGGTCTGTAATATGTGGCACAAAATGGACCACTTTATTTTAGGTTTCAGAGGAACAGCCGTGTTAGTCTGTATTCGCAAAAAGAAAAGGAGTACTTGTGGCACCTTAGAGACTAACCAATTTATTTGAGCATGAGCTTTCGTGAGCTACAGCTCACGAAAACATCTGATGAAGTGAGCTGTAGCTCACGAAAGCTCATGCTCAAATAAATTGGTTAGTCTCTAAAGTGCCACAAGTACTCCTTTTCTTTTCACTTTATTTTAGTGTTCTGATCCCAATGCATCAGTGAATTGGGGGACATTTTTCAAACTTGAGTGACGTTAATGGGAACTGTGGGTGGTCAGCCCTTCTGAAAACCAAATAACTTATTTAAGTGTCTAATTGTAAGCAGCCAAATTTGGTCAACATCTTCCAACGATATAAGGAGCCCAAATTGGTCTTTTGTTTTGGAAGCATTGTGAGCAATGTGAGCACCATAATTTGTCTACACATAGTGTGCCTTGCAGGAACAGGAAAATAAAACCTTGCAAGTTACATTATGTTGGGTGCCTTGACATTCATTGTATGTCTGTACTGAAGTCAGTAGTTTTGATCTATTATATAAATCTCTATTCTAGGTTATTTAATTGAACTAGAGAGAAAAGTTCTGTACCTAAGTGATGCCAACATTCAAAAAAATGTGGATGTATTTTTAAGGCCAGGAGGAGGAAATCTTTGGGTTTTAAGACAGCTGGCTTCCTTGTTTCTCACTGCAAAGTGTTATCCAATAGTCATTTGGGGTCTGAGAGCATCTCTCAGATCAGTTTTTTTTTTACTTGATTTGATAGAAGGCTACTTCCTCAGCCACCATATGAAGAATCTAACATGCTTGGGCAAAACCAAATAGAATTACTAATGGCTCTGGAGTTAAATTTTCTTTTAATGTAGAATAAGTCAATTATTTTCATCTTTCACTTTGCTGGGTGTGTGTGCTGGATTCAAAGCACTGGTCTGTGCAGGTTTTGATAGTTACAAGCATGGGTCCAGTTATGGGGGTTATTCCATGCAAATATGGCAGCAGCTGGAGAGTGGCATGGGTGCACAGTGATGCCCCGAAAAGTCAGAAGATGCCAGCAGGACTGGGGCCCATGTGCCCCTTTAATGGTGCTCCTATGCATGTGTGTTCATTGCTCTTATAGGCACATATCCATCGCTTCTGTGTGCGCGCATCTATTGCCATGGGCTGCACGACCATCAGTCCCGGGTGTGCATCCGTCCCTCCTCTGGGGTGCATGGCCATGGCCGTGTCCGTTGCTCCCGGGTGCCCGTCCATCAGTCCCGGGTGCCCGTCCGTCCCTCCTCTGGGGTGCATGTCCATGGCCGTGTCCGTCCCTCCTCTGGGGTGCATGTCCATGGCCGTGTCCGTTGCTCCCGGGTGCCAGACCATCAGTCCCGGGTGCCCGTCCGTCCCTCCTCTGGGGTGCATGTCCATGGCCGTGTCCGTCCCTCCTCTGGGGTGCATGTCCATGGCCGTGTCCGTTGCTCCCGGGTGCCAGACCATCAGTCCCGGGTGCCCGTCCGTCCCTCCTCTGGGGTGCATGGCCATGGCCGTGTCCGTTGCTCCTCTGGGGTGCATGGCCATGGCCATGGCCATGGCTCCCGGGTGCCCGTCCATCGCCCCGGGGTGCCCGTCCATCGCCCCGGGGTGCGCCTCTCTCGCGGTGGGGCACCTGCCAGCTACTCTTTCTGTTGCTGTCGTGACCGGCCCCTGCCCTCAGGGCAGCCCCTGGCCCTGGGGGCCTGGAGAGCAGGCCCAGCACCCTGGGGGCGGCCGGGCGGCGGTTGGGCAGAGCGAGGCGGAGCCGGGGGTGGGCGGGAAGTGGCTGCGGTGAGGCGGCGGGGGCGGAGTCTGCGAGGGGGCGGCCTGTCAGCAGAGCCGGCCCGGCCGGTTACCCCCGCGCCGGGTGAGGGCCCCGGCCCCGCCTGCTGGAGCAGCGGGCGCCGGTTGGGCCGGGGCGGGGGGCCCCTGAGGCGATGGGAGGCCCTGACGGGGGGAGGGGTTGCTGCCTGGCTCCGCCCCCCTGGCGCGCCTGGCTGGTGGGGGTGGGGCAGCCGTTGTTCGGGGCTCCCGCAGTGTGGCCGCCCCGCGCTGCGATTGGCCGTCCGGGCTGCCGCTCAGTTTCTCTTTGGGACTGAGAGGCGGGGCTAGAGTGTGCGGAAAGGGGCGGGGCCGGGCTCGGGGGCGGGGCCTGTGTCGGCGCTGCCCCCCACCCCCCCACGCCGTGGTCAGTCGGAATCGGGCGGCGGCAGGAGGCGGCTCCGCCGGGCTGAGGAGCGGTCGCAGCGCGGGATCCTGGTGCGCAGCGGGCGGGCACTGTGCGGTGAGTGGCGCGCGTTGCTTCGTGCAGCTAGATGGGGAAGAGGGAGCTGGGTGCGGGGAGTGCAGGAGCTGGGTGCAGGGTGGGGAAGAGGGAGCAGGGTGCGGGGAGTGCAGGGTGGGGTGGGAGCTGGCCTCAGGGTGCGGGAGCTGGGTGGGGAAGAGGGAGCAGGGTGCGGGGAGTGCAGCGTGGGGTGGGAGCTGGCCGCAGGGTGCGGGAAGTGCAGGGTGGGGAAGAGGGAGCAGGGTGCGGGGAGTGCAGGGTGGGGTGGGAGCTGGCCGCAGGGTGCGGGAAGTGCAGGGTGGGGTGGGAGCTGGCCGCAGGGTGGGGAAGAGGGAGCTGGCCGCAGGGTGCGGGGAGTGCAGGGTGGGGAAGAGGGTGCGGGGAGTGCAGGGTGGGGTGGGAGCTGGCCGCAGGGTGCGGGAGCTGGGTGAGGAAGAGGGACCTGGGTGCGGGGTGAGAAGGTGAAGGCTTGGGGGAATGTTAGAGCTGCATACGGGCTGGTGGGGGGATCGCAAGCTGCTGCGGCTGGGGAAGCTGGATGGGTTTGCTGGGGTGGGATAGGAGCCAGAGGCATGGAGGGGTTTGATGTTTAAACAGGTTGCAAATGGGGTGGGTGGGCTGGGGATGGAGCTATGTGCCTGTATGTGGATTGGGGGCTTTAGGAGCGTTCACTCTACTGTGATGGGTGAGGGAGGAGATGGATAGTGTATGTGCTGAGGCAAAGTATGTCTTCCACCGGGTTTAGGCTGTATGCATTATAAGGACAAAGCTGGGAATGGCTAATAGCAGGGACAAACAAGGGGAGCTAGGTTCTCTGCTGACCAAGGGAAACAAAGGGAGGTTTTTAGAGATTGAGCTGGATAAATGAGATGCTTAATATTTGCTGCTGAAATTGAATGAGATCTTTTTGTGGGCATCCTCACTGCAGGTCAGGCTGGTCTAGCTGTGATTATTGAAGCTCTTTCCATATTTAAAGGTGGGATGCTGTCACAGCTAAGTGGCTCTGCTGAGATTCTGAATGGGGGGGAGATTTCTGAAAAGTGTCACTGAGCCTTTAAACGTCTCATTGAACACACAGCAGAATCTTTCTCCCCAAGAGAGATGCAATAAAATATTACGTAAAATTAATTCACAATGAAGGCTTCCTATAGATAAGTGAGACTTGGCAGGTTGATTTCTGACTTTTCTCATGGAGGAGAGAAAGAGAACGAGTGTCTCTTTAAGAAAGAAAGGACTATGAGGTGCAGATTCATAAACTCCGAGAGTCCAAGGCCAGAAGCGACCATTGTGATCTAGTTGGCATTGTATAAGGCAGGCCGTAGAAGTTGCCCAAAATAATTCCTAAGCATATCTTTTGAAAAAAACCATCCAATCTTGATTTAAAAAATTGGACACACACATGGTAGAAAGACTAGTCTTTTTTTCCCTGTCCATCTTTCACACATGACTTTTGCACTGCTGTTTGCTCATGATGATGCATTCTGAGCCATACATACATCAGGCTTAAGGGGTGACATAACATATATTAGTATGTGAGAAGAAATCTGATTCTTTTGTTCTTCAAACTGTTGACTACGTACAAGCGGAGGTATTAGTCAACACCACATAATGTGTATGTCACCCTGTGGAAGGCTCTTCTCTCTCCCCCTAGGACATTACACAGCAGCAGCAGAAGATCAAGTTCCTTAGGCTTGTTTTGGTGTAGTAGATGTCATGCCATATTGATGCCTATTCTAAATCCTCTTGAAAGCTAAGGAAAGCACAAAACTATGTGAACAGTATCCTTTGGGTTTGATTCCCTTACCAAAAGGTACTTTCTGTGACTGCTGCCAAGTGAAAGATTGGAATTAAAGGGGTGTCAGTTGTTAGCCCCAATTTCTGCTTTTTTGAAAAAAGTTTCTACAAAATTAAAGATCAATAGAAATATTTCCAATGAATCAAAATACAATAGCTACCATTTTTAAACAAATACACATTCCATTGTTGTGTTTCAGCTGCAGACAATGGAGTATTGTGACAGTGCATGAGAACCTGATAAAGAAATGGACTAGAAGCTGGCTGGAAACAAAAGTAAAAATGATTGGTGCACTTATTGTTCAAAACAATTGACCTGATTTTTTGTATTATTAATCTAAAGTTTCAATCCTGGAAATGCATACACGAGTAGAGCTATTGGAACTATGCATGCAGGTTTGCATAATCAGGCCTAAGAGGTTAGCAACACATAAGAACTTGTTTTTGAAAACTGTTAACTGGTGCAGCCCATTTACTAATGCCAGTCCTTGCTTAGCCGTTGGATGGGTTATAGCTAAACTATTTGAAGTTAACCTCTATTTACATACACGTGTAGAGAAGAGCATGATGGTAGAAGCCATGTGTGTACAATGCAGTTTGGGGAAAGCTGTGTGAATTGACATTGTGCCTGCCATAGGAATTAAATATGCCCATATGTAATAGGGATGTGTGGCTAGAGAAAATGGCAAATACCTTAGCTGAAATGCTTTCATGCACCAAAGAGAACATCTTGTTACCACCAATATTCATGTTTGCTAAAGGTTGTGTGCACACTACAGAGGTAAAAGATCAATTAGTGTTGTGACAAAGCCAAAGCAAGTTTATTTTTTGTGTATTTGCAATAGCAACAGTAAGACCCAGTAACCCATAATATGCATGTGGGAGTATGTGCCTTGTGTTTGTTTTTGATATCACTCTTCATAATGGTAAATTTTTAATGGTCATTTGTAGCCTTGCGCACTGATTGCTTTAATCAGCATCTGTGTCTCCTTTTTATGTACTGTGTTGGGATTACAGTACTCTGTCTTCTAGTGAGCTGCCTTTCCAAACATCATTGGGTTTTTCAAGTTAAATCTTCATGCTTATTGCATCTGTCACTTCTGGGATTCACTCCAAGCACGAGGCAGATATTCAGTGTAATAGCAATGAAATGGAATGCTCGAAAGAATAAAATATCTGCTTTCCTTAGTGATATAGCACAGAGAAGTATGAAGGATATATACACTTAACAATCAGTTAACTTAAAGATTTTAATGGTGACTTCATGAAATGTCCCATTTAAGCACAACATGGCATTTTAGTTGCAAGAGCATGTAAGTGACTGTTTTCAATTTCACTGTTGCCTCGGTAGAATAAAATGAGTTTGAGTGCCGGCTTCCTATTTTGAGGACATGAGCAAAACACTTCCTGGCCTGAGTTTTCTGCTTGGTGAGGTCATCAGTGCACCACTCCCAGGGTTAAGAATGTTGTTTCATGCAAACTCACAAGCACATTTTCCTGATATTTAAAGAAATTTTTGTATGTTTATGCTTAATTTTTTTAATAAATATTTCAGTCCCTCCTTAAGGACGTAGTGGAACAGTAAGTCACTGAGGGATTTAAGTGCCCTAGTTTAAAATCTTTAAGTGTATATGAACAAAATTTTAATGTACAGTGAAAAGAAAAGGAGGACTTGTGGCACCTTAGAGACTAACCAATTTATCTGAGCATGAGCTTTCGTGAGCTACAGCTCACTTCATCGGATGTAGCTGTAGCTCACGAAAGCTCATGCTCAAATAAATTGGTTAGTCTCTGAGGTGCCACAAGTCCTCCTTTTCTTTTTGCAAATACAGACTAACACGGCTGCTACTCTGAAACCTGTCTTAATGTACAGTGTTTCTCCTGAAGTCCCCCTCTCCCCGCACCCCTCCAAAGAAAAAGCTTGAACCCACTTGCCTTGTGGTGACTATTGGGTCAGGCTGGTTAGAACTGCTTGTTTAAAATCTACCACCAGATCAACTATTTCAAGAATCAGAATGTCCAACTGCTCCAGGCTGGTGAAATGTGAACTGATACTTCTTTGTAGTGTTATAATTGATAAGGGCAAGTGATGCTGAAGTTATTAGGATTAGCTCTTAATAGCAGAACTAAAATAGTACAGACTTAGGTTAAATGAAGTGACTCTGGCCGGCTGCTTTTTGAAAGTTGGTTATTCTAGGCGTATATTTACATGCCATTAGGTAGTTCCTGTCTGTTCTCTAAACTTATCCAAAAGAGGATTCAGATTGGTCAATTCATCCCATGCTCATATTGACAAACTTAAATAAAACCATTTAGATTTTTTTAAAAAATGTTTTAATTTTAGTCCTTGACTTTTGATCCGCTTTAAAAAGTGACAGTGATGCTCATGAAAAGTGTCTGCCTCACAGGTACAGTGGAGTCGCATCTTACGCGGGGGTTAGGTTCTAAAGTCAGCACATAAGGCGAAAATCGCATATAGTCAAAATTGCCCTTGAAAATCCCTTAAATTGCCCATAAAGTACAGTATACTGTACATGGTTTTGTGTATACAACCCTGTACAGTAATATATATAATGTGTACAGTATTGTACAGTATATAATAGAGTACATATGCAAAATATAATTTTACAGTACTGTATTTTTAATTAAAGGGGGTAATTACAGGGGGTTGTCAGGGCTTGATGTTGATCCAAGAGACGGACGTGATGGAGAGCATGGGTGACAGAGAGCGAGTCGTAGACGAAGTGGTTGGCTCTGGTTCAGCTCGAGAAGTTGATTGCATAGGCTCATCTGCTGCTGGTTGTTTTTCCTGGAAAAACATGGTGATCGGCAACTGTTGCAGTTGTCTCTTGAGCTGCTCAAACATTTCTTGATACGGTCTCAAATAGTCCATAATGCTACGTGTGTTTTTTGAGGCTTCGTTCCATAGGGGGATCGTATTCAGAAATTAAATCATTCAAGTGTTTCGCTGCCTGGAACACTTCAGCAAACTTATGAAGATTCCAACTTGCTGGCTCTTCCTGTCATCATCTTCGTCTTCTGTAGACGATTTTATCAGTTCCTCTAATGCTTTGTGAGTCAATGTTTCTCTATGGCTCTCAATTAATTCTTCAATTTCTTCCTCAAGGATGTCGACGAAGCCATCACCACCAACTTGCCTGGCCACCTGAACAATGCGTTTCACTTCTTTGTCAATGGTTGGAAAACCCTTAAAATCATTCACACATTCTTTCCAGAGGTTTCGCCAACATGCATTGACTGTTTCAGGCTTGATTGCATCCATTGCCTGTTTAATATAAGTGATGCAATCGGCAATGTTGCGGGACTTCCAACACTCCATCACATTAAGATTGGGATCAGCATCCGTAGCGCTACGTATCCATGAGAACATAAGCCTCGTGTACGTGGCCTTGAAACAGCGGATCACGCTTTGGTCGAGAGGATGGAGGTGGTATGGGGTGGGAGAAAGATGACTTCAGCGTTGTTATGCGCAAACCGGAGTGCCGCAGAGTGGCCAGGAGCATTGTCAATGATCAGCAATGCTTTAAAGTCAAGTCCTTCCTCTTATAGATTCATAGATATTAAGGTCAGAAGGGACCATTATGATCATCTAGTCTGAACTCCTGCACAACGCAAGCCACAGAATCTCACCCACCCACTCCTGCAAAAAACCTCTCACCTATGTCTGAGCTATTGAAGTCCTCAAATCGTGGTTTAAAGACTTCAAGGAGCAGAGAATCCTCCAGCAAGTGACCCATGCCCCATGCTACTGAGGAAGGTGAAAAACCTCCAGGGCCTCTTCCAATCTGCCCTGGAGAAAAATTCCTTCCCGACCCCAAATATGGCAATCAGCTAAACCCTCAGCATATGGGCAAGATTCTTCAAGGTACTGCTTGACCTCCGGAATGAAACACTTGTGGAACCAATCCAGAAATAATGCTGCCTTCGCCCAAGCCTTTTTATTTGATTGCCAGAACACAGGCAGAAGATTTTTGTTCTTGCCTTTTAGGGCACGGGGATTTGCAGCCCTGTAGAGCAAGCCTGGCTTTATTATATGCCCAGCCACATTGCCACAAAACAACACAGCCACATAGTCATTAGCTACTTCGAAGCTAGGGGCTTGTCTTTCTGATTTCAAAATGTAAGTGCGGTTGGGCATTTTTTTCCAGAAGAGCCCAGTCTCATCAGCATTAAAAACTTGTTCCGAAAGATAGCCCTTTTCTTCTATGATTTTCTTTAATTGTTCGGGGCAGGTTTTTGCTGCTTCTTCATTGGCAGATGCAGCTTCACCAGTAGTCTGCACGTTTTTGAGGTTGAAGCGGTTCCTAAAACTCTTAAGCCAACCTTGGCTGGCTTTGAATTCCTTCTCATCAAAGGCTGTCCCTCTTCAGCGGCAGGTCTGAACAACCCGTAGAGGCTAAGAGCTTTTTCTTGCAACGTGTTGCCCTCGATAGGGATACGTTTACAATTCATGTCTTCTAGCCATAAGTTTAATGCCTTTTCAGTCTTCACTAAAGTCTTACCATGCACCTGGCTCATCACCTTAGAAGTCATTGGAGCACTTGATGCCACGGCTTGATGAATTTCTCTCTCTCGAATCTTGATGGCATGGATGCTAGATTAGTTGCGGCCACATTTACGCGCCACGTTGGAGACTGACATACCGTCTCTCAATAAGTCCAACACAGCCAGTTTTTTCTCCAGCGTTGGAACAGATGGATGTTTCTTCAGTTGAGCAACAGGTGAAGTAGTTGGCTTGCGTTTAGGGGCCGTGTTGTACGAAAAATATTTATCTTTAAACACTAGAATCACACTCAGTGCAGCGAGATGCTCACACTATGAGAGGCACATGGGAACTGAGACTGACCGACTGATGGAACAGTAGATTCACGTCTCCCATCTCGTGCTCACTCCGGGGCATACACTCATTGAGTGGAATGGTGGGCAGAATTCCATCTGCACTATTTACAGGTATCTTGTTGTTTGTTCGTTCGTGGTTTTTTTTTTTTTTGGCCGAGTGCGTATAGTTGAATTTGTGTAAGTTAAATGCGCGTATGATGCGACTCACCTGTACGGCAGTGACAGGTCCAAGCTGCCTCACCATTGTCTCAGAACTGTGTTCTAGGAGACCCACCTGTAGGGTGGAAGGCAGCTGTATCTTTAGTCTTGAAGATTGCTAAAAGGGGACTAGTTCTGGTTTATGAAAAGTTCATAACTATCCAGTAGGAAATGTGCTGAGACCATCTAACTCCTCTCATATTGGCCACTGAACAGAT